ATATATATGTGTATGTATATATGCGTGTGTATGTATATGTATATTCGCAGAGTGTCTGGGATCTCCCTTAGAGAGGGTGAGAAGCTCGGTCTTCCGGGAAGAATTCAGTGTAGAGCCGCTGCTTCTCCATATCGAGAGGAGTCAGTTGAGGTGGCTCAGACATCTGATTAGGATGCCTCCCTGGTCAGGTGTTTCAGACATGTCCCACTGGGAGGAGACCCAGTACACGCTGGAGGGACTATGTTTCTTGGCTGGCCTGGGAACGCCTTGGGATTTCCTTGGAGGGGCTTGACCAAGTGGCTGTGGAGAGGGAAGTCTGGGGCTTCCTACTTAAGCTGCTACCCCCACGACCCGACCCCGAATAAAAAAGAAGAAAAAGATTGGATGGATGGATATTTATAAATTTTCTTCACTAGATCTCGAAGGAGGCACATGCGTTACTTCCCGCTCCCTGTTTTCCTCCTGCTTTTTTTTGCTCTCTTGTCTGTGTATCACAGCTCCTTTTTTTTTTTTTTTTTACACATCTCCTGAAATGGAAACTACTGTTTTGGTCTGAGAACTTTCGACGTATATTCCAAATTCTTTCAACAACGCGATAGGGTCCTGGAGAACCTTCGTCTGCTTGGACGTGACGTGCAGCTGGATATATCTCTGTGGGGGATGTGTCTACCTTTGCTATCGACCAAGGATGCTGAAATTGCCGATAATTGGATTTATGATAACAGGTTTCCTGTGTTTGGAATAGTCTGGATCCTGGTTCATCAACATACAAAGAAGACGGCCGCAGCTAATTTGGACCTCGACAAGCTGCTGCCTACGTGAAGGTTTGGTTCGTGTTGGGAGGGCTCAGAATCAGCTGATTTACGAGCGAAACCGTAAGTTGGAAGTGATTTGAATCGCAGGCCACCTGCGGCTTTGGGACTTGTCAGCATGAAAAAAAACATCTTCAAGAGGCTCGTACGCACGGACCAGTGGAATGCACCCTAATCTGGACATTTGGACCTTGGAAAGTTATCAATAAGACTCTAGGCTGACGGAAAGTAGTCTGCCTGAATAAATCAACAAATGCGGTTATCTGAACCTCCCCCCGGTTGGCCTCAAAACAGGCCGACTTATCAATTTCTCTTGGGAAATATGTAAACTAAGGAAAAGCTTGCCCCCCCTCCCCCCGAAGGCTTATTAGAACTGTGCCGGCTGACCATCATCTTATCAGGACAATGGACTATCTAGGGCTACATGGACTGCCTCGTTTATAAATGCATATGGAACGTGTTCATAAATGTGCTTTAGCTGGCAGACAACAAAGTCCATGCTCAGTAATCCAGGTATACAATCCAGCATTTTTCAGTCAGGTCATCTGGACTGAAGGTGAAACATTTCAGCATAAAAAAAAGAAACTGTCCAGATGACCTGACTGAAAAATGTTGGGTTTAACTGGCAGAGTTTTTTTAATGTCTTCAAAATGGCCCAGTTAGGACAAGGTGTGAAGAGATCACCCTCCTCATGGCTTTGTCCCTTTTTCTGTCTAAAAAAACGTATTCTGAATAAGAATAAAAGGGCCGCGCTTCAGCAGCAGCTTCGTGCACTCCGTCCGTCTTTCGGAGGGCTGTATGTACATGTTCTCGTTGTGTCTCGGTGCAATGATAGTAAATCTTATTCTGATTGTGAACTGTTCAAAGCTCCTTGTGAAGTGTGCAGCTCTTGTTATAGTGCAAGATTGACCTGCCAGAGTTCATAGGTGTTGATTTGCCTTCCACACACAGACTGCCCAGATTCTCACAGGACTTCATGATGAGACGCTCTCTGACTCATGGTTAACGGTAATCTCCTACGGTAAACAACCATTCAACCTACAGAATGAACACAAACTAGTCTAAGCAGAACTCAAAACCGGTAATCACTGGGGAGAACATTGCTAAACACCTACAGAACCAAAATTATTTAAAAATTAGCCTACCTGTAAATTTTACCTGCACATCCTACTTGAGGTCATGTACCTGGAAAAATACAGTACGGTAAATATTTATTAAATTAAACTACTGCCATTGATTTTTATTGTTGAGCACATTTTGGTAAGAGCTGCTGTTTATAACGTGCTTTAAAAATACATTTTGATAACGTCTGCATCACTTCTGCTCCGCAGCACACGAGTGTCAGAACTAGGGATACACCGATCCACTTTTCTTTTTTTTCCCCACTTCCGATCTGATACCTATATCTGCTGTTTGGCATCAGCCGATACCGATCTGATACAGAAAAACTGTGCTGAATTAACAAAAATGGCTAAATCATGTCACCTGGACCTGTTTCAGAAACGGGTCCAGGTGACATGATTTA